AAAGGCTGCTAATGTAAACTATTTCTTGAACTGTGATTACCCTCAATACTATTTATGATTGCACTTTGACAAACACAAGCTTTGCAAATAGTCCTCAATCATTGTTAGCATGGACTAATTCAAATTTGAAATTGATTTCAAATTGAGCGCAATCAAATGCATAGTTAAACCTAATAAAATCAGGATAATTAAGTGCTCGACGTCGGCACTCTAAATACGCCCAATTTCGGATGACAATATGTGAGTGAGCTTACGCCAAGGGCGTAACTGTTTTGCAACTAGGCAAAACTTGCAGTCAATTACTGTGTCAGACACACACACACACACACACAGGATAAAAACTCATTAGGCCTGAAAGGAGAGAGAGAGGCAGAGAGGAGAGCTCTATCCGTGTGCGCAAATGTGAAGAAAATTACCAATTTGAAAATTAATTTGGAAAATAATTAAAAGCAATGACAACGACCATGGCCGGGACCCAGTGATGACAGGGCGCATTAAGCTGCATGGCACCCTGAAGCTAGTGATTGGAGCAGTGTGGCGCGGTGTGCTGGGGGTTAGCCTGTACAGGCAACACCCATTAATGGTTGTTAGCTGTTGATAGCTGTGTCAAATGCGGCTGCATGTTTAATGCGCCTGCCAACGACATCAATGACATCGATGACAACAGCAATGCGCCTGCCTCTCAATGATAATGATGTTGTCTCATTGCTGTCGCTCATCATGTTAATGACAATTGCTCTAATGACAATGTTGCCTCGCCAGCCGCCACTCAAGAGAGGGCTGGGGGCGGCGCGATGCGTGTTGCATGCGTGTTTATGGTATTCATTATGCAACAAATCAACAATATATATATCAATGGATTATGAATCTGCCACAGCCCGTGCCGCAATTCCTAATTAATATGCAAATATGCACACATGTAAGTGCCACTCTCTCTCCCATTCATACACACATTATGCAGGTGTGTGTGTCCTTTAAAGCTTAATAATTAATAGCCCTCAATGGCATCAGCATTAGCATGTATGCAGCATCTCTGCAACTTTGCCGCATTTGGCTTATTGTTGCGGCGAGCCATTGTCAAAAGCATAATTAAAAATGCGCCAGGCAGCATCAATCAATATCAATCAAGGCATACTCGTCCGCCCCACAATGCAGCTATTTATCAATTCATCAAGCATTCCAACACACACTCGCCTAGCTGCACTCTTTGTAATTAATATCAGATTCAATCAGCTGAAGCATTAGAGGCGACTCCTTCATGAGCCACAAATATCGTTCTTATGCAAGTATTTCGCATTAATTAAAAATGAAACACATGACACATGATTGAAATATAAATTAGATTTCACTTTGTGGCCCACACTTTGCATCTAAATTAAGTCTCTCTATCTATAGCTCTACTGAGCTGCAACAGAGCGGAATATACCCTGCAGATATTTGCAATTTGTAGTCTATTTATTTCGAAAACAATTTTCTAGCTGTGCCTTCTCTTTGATCTATTTACATATACCCAAATATCTCCTATGTATGCAGACACACACATGCTCACACACACACTCATGTGGACACTATAGCTTAAGCTCCTTTTCCGTTCGGTTAAGTCTAACACAGATTATTTATTATATTATTGCAGCTTTTCCTTGTGCTATTAAACGTCTCTACTATTTGCTTCTTGTTTACACAGACCAACAAAATTTGATCAAATTTAGTAATCAAGAATTAGACTATGAAAATGTGCGGGAAATAGTTTTATTTAGAGATATTACTATAGAGTATACATTAGTAAAAGTGCAAGAAATCTATTTTTTAATGCTAATTTTAGATTGTTTATTAAAGGAGGAGGCATTTAAATGTATAAGATTTTTTATTTCATTACAGTCTAATTTGAATAAGATAGAAATATACATTTTGTCTGTTGAGGGAGACATTAGTGTAGGATAAATGCGAGAGCAGAAAGAATGAGTAAAGCAAATCAGTTCACATCCGATCAGATCATAGCAGATTATCAGATCAATTCAACAAACATTTTCTTTTTAAATGTTTTTATTTTAATTATTTCTTTATAATAAACTAACTACATTTATATTAAACGAACTCAAATGTGACAGCAAACAACGGGTGCAATATAGCTGTCTCTATGACATTCAGATTCAAGTTCAGCAAAGCAAAATAGTTCAATCAATAGTAACTGTGGTTAGTGGCTAGTGTTCTAATTACATAAGTATTATAAACAAAAAACAGTTGCATTAATAGTAAAAGTCTTTTAGGTATGATAAACCTTTCACAGTTTCCAAAGAAGACTGAAGTAAGTTCATAACTCAGCTATATTAAAGAGATCTGCTTTCTTTTTCCACTTTAAGTACCGCAAACAGTTTGCCGAAAAAGGTGATATACAAGCTATGACTGAAAGGTTAATTAATTTTTATTCACTTTCATAGCAATGCACATATCTGGCCTCAGCTGACTGCTAATTTAAGAACTTTTTGATGCGCCCTGTATAGCTGCGAGGCAGGCTTGTAGTCGAGTTAAGCAACAGAGGCTGCTCGGGTAGCCGGCATTGCGGCATACAAAGGCTGCGTACAATTTTGAAATGCAGACACACGCTGTGAGCTGCGGCAAGTTGTAAGTTGCAAGTTGCAAGTTGCCAGTTGCTAGTTGGAACGGGGCTCGTTAGCGTGTGGCATGAACAGGCGCCGGCAGCGTGAGCGAAGCGTTAAATTCTATACATTCAGCCGGAGTCATGAAACAGCCAAACAAAGAGAGGCGGAGGGCACAGAGAGGGGGCGTGGCAGCTAGTAAAAATTGCATGCGGAAATGCCATTCTCAAAGACTACAAATGCCATGTCCATCTGCAAATCGAGCCGGACGGCAGGCAACTTGTCGTATAATGAAATGTGTCCAGCAGCACAAACAAAGCAATGCCAGAAAGAGAACAAAAAAGAGAGATACAGAGAGAGAAGGAGAGAGAGTTATAGAGCGAGAGCGAGAGGGAAAAGTAAATAAGTAGTTGGCGCTTTTACTGGGAAAGCGCGAAATCAACTCTTTTGTGGCTACACAAATAAAAAAAAACACAGAAAAATTGTGAAAAATTAAATAGCATAAAAACGTAATGCAACGCCCCCAAAATTCCTAGAACAACTGCCGGATGAAGGCAGGCGCTGGCGCTGGCCACATAGACTGGGCAGCTGGGTAGTGCTTGGTCAGTCACTCACTCAGAGACGAAGCAAAGTGAGGCGAACCGAGGCTGTATAATTTTAAGCATTGACATTTGCGGTCTCCAGTCATTATATAGCTCGCTCGCTTCTGCTCTCCCTCTCTCGCCATCTCTCTCTCTCTGTTCCTCAGCATTTTGATAGCTTTTTTTTACATGCTCAGCTTGGTATTTTTTTTCTTCTACTTCTGCTTGCTGGCATTTTTTCCCTTCACACTTCCGCTTTGGCAACTTCCGCAATTTTACTTTGAATTATAGCCAAGCGCATTAATTTAAATGTCGGCAAAGGCGAACAGCACAAAAAATATAAATACTTCTCTATAAAAAAAAAGGAATTGGCCGGCAGCGAAAATATTCTGTATACATACATACACACATGTGTAGACGTATGTGTGTTTGTCCAAACGAGCACATTTCTGTTGCTTTATAATACCCTTTTAGAGGGTATTATAATTCCCTTTGACAAAATGTGCCACAGATTAAAAAAGGGGGCATTTCGAGCATGCCATAAAGTGTATATGTGTGAACTGTTTCAGATGTCTTTGAGTTCTTATAGAGGCTTTTTTAGCCATTCTGTATATACCTATGCAGTTTTTATAACGATGAAGAACATTTTCAATGTGTTTTCTTTTTGAAACAGCAAATGGTTTTTCTGTTGTGTGAAACAATTCACAACGAATTTTTAAAATATGTTCAATGCATCAACTCAAATCTCTCCTGCAAAGACAAGTTTTCTTAAACTCTATGTGCAGCTGAACCAACTCTTTTGGTCTTTTACTATTTGAGTTCGAAGCATCAATACATAGCGAAAACTAGACAGCGAGATAGACAGCTAAACAGACGATAGACGATAGAGAAAAGAGAAAAGAAGAAAGAGCAAAGAGGATATAGGAAAGAGGTTATAGGATAGACGATTGCCGATTGACGATACACGATACACGATAGACCATAGACCATAATTGATAGTTGATAGACGATAGATGGCAGCTTAACTGATGAAAGCTTGGCTGACAGACAGACAGATAGGCAGACAAGCGACAGATATACGCCGGATAGGTCTTAAACAAAATAAAATAAAATTCCAATTTTCGCCAGACTAATAATTCGTATTGCTGTTGCAAAAAACTGATCTTCAGTTATGCAAAATTAAGCTTATAATAAAATAGTTAATTACTTCTAACGCCTTTTCTTTCATATCAAAGCTCCGTTTAAGCTCTTTAAGTTTAACTTTCTTTTTAAACTACGTTTCATCAAATATATTTCTCGGCTAAAGAGTATTTCGACTTTCACATTTCAACACAATTTGAGAATTGTTTACTTTTCCTCTTTCTGTTTTGTTTTTTTTTCCTCTGTCACTTTTTGTGGCTATTGTGTGTGGTGAGGTGTGTGCGTTCCATGTTTGATTAAAATTATGCTTTGTGCGACGCTTCAATTTGCCTTTTGCAGACTTTTAATTAATGTTTCCGTTGTTGCTGTTGTTGCCAGTTTTCCATTTCAAAAGCTGAGAATTGGGATGCAATTGCTGCGACGCTTAAAGATTAAATTTATAAGACAGCTGCCCCAAAAAGCATGCTACAATAGAATATTTTTCAATTTTGTGGCATGCTTCGATTGTTCAGCTGTGTTCAGGCAACATAGTGCTGCAAATTAGTATATGTACGCGCGTGTGGGTGTGTATATATATACATATATATATTAATGGGTTTTGTGGTAAATTGTGCTGTTTTATGTCCAAGTGAGCGCCAGCGCGTAAATGAAAATTTATGCGGCAAATTTAATTAAAACATACCTCAGGCTGTGTTTCGCCATGCACGATGCAGACCAGCATCGCCTCGTGTCCCTCGCCCGAGAAGACAACGGGACGCTCCACGGAGATTTCTGGCGGATCTGCGAATGTATACATTTATATATATATATATATGTCTGTTTATTTATTATAAGAAAATTAGTAAACAACATGAACGAAAAATGAAATGAAAATGAAAATAAAAATAGAAATCGAAATGAGGGCACTTGGCGCGTGTCTTCATATAATTAGCTGCTGTGCGAATAACCTTTGCGGTTCGACTTTCAGCGCAAATTGCATATAAATTTTTAAGTAAATGTCAGTCGGACAGTCGGGCACTTCCATAATTGGCAAGTCGCAGTCGTAGTTTGGCCACGTTTGGCCATTTGAAATCAGTTCACAAATAAATTGAAGTGTCTAGCAATTGGAGCTGAAATTAATTTGTTGTGCAGGTACTTACAGAGGACGTGCAGGACGACCTGGCTGGATGCGGGCTGGCCAACGCCATTGTTGGCGGTGCATATGTAGACGCCGCCCTTATGACGATCCACATTCTCGATGGACAGGACGTGCGAGTGTAGCTTCTCCTCGCCTGCAAAATACGAAGTCGATAAAACAAATGCGCACATCGATGTAAAATGACACGAGGCAATTACAAGGACCCAAGGACCTTCGGACCAGCCGGGCCAACCAGCAGAAACAGAGAGAGCGACACTTCTGCCGTCTTCTGACTTTTCATTTTTATGGAAATTGTTCAAGTTCTTTATATTCATTTACTTTTGCACTTTTTTCTGTTAAACTTGATGCTATTAATTTGCACCGTTGTCCTGGCTGGCTGGCTGGTTGGCTTGGATCCTTTTGGCCTACTTATGCAAAAATCTTACCATTGGGCAAAATATTATTTTTGCGGCTCCAAGTCACATTTGGCGTTGGATTACCAGAGGCCGAGCACTCAATGCGCACTGATGAACCTTTTTTGACTTGCAAATGTCCGCCGGTGCTAATGTGATGAATCCTCGGTGGCACTGCACACAGACCAAAATAAACAGAAACAGAAAATGGAAAATGGAAAGTGGAAAGTGGAAAGCAGAGAAAAACACATTAGAAACGGGCAGTAGTATCTGGTTGGTAGTTGTTTCTTTTCTGTTGGGCTAGAAAACAATGACTGCCCAGCGTCCGGCTGTATGGCAAATGTATGCAAAGCCCAGCTGCCCTGGCCAAGGATCAAGGACCAAAAACGGACGCCAAACAATTTGAATAAATATGCGCACAAATGCAAATTGAATGAGTGCAAAATGGCGGTTACGCATGTGGAGCGAGCCCCCCCAAGCCACCATTCCATCCCCATCTCCACCCCCATTGCCTCAAATGTGACTGACCATGAGAATAAGACGCAGATATAGCCAGCTGCCAATTGTTTGGCTTTGGCCTGTACAGCTTTGGGGCCATTTTATTTAATTTGAGCCTCGCATTTATTTATATTTTTGTGGCCAAATTATTTTACAGCTGTTTTCACAGAAAAAAGCCAAAAACAAGCCAAAAAAAAACGTAAAAATTATGACTATGTCTGCTTTGGTCTGCTGTCGCATTCAAGGACATTCGACAAGTGCCACGCCTCCTCTCTTGGGGAGGGATATAGGCATGCAAATAAAAATGTATTTAAAGTGGGCAACTGAGGGGTCACAGTTAAGCTTGGTTTATGCATGGATTTTATTTGATTTTCAGTTTTTGGTGTATTTCAGTTCAATACCCTGTAGATGTGTACATGCGCAAATGGGGTGTATAAATACAGGTGTATATGTAACATTTGTACAATTTGTGTTTTTCTTAAATTTCTCGATTGAAAATTGAATGATAAATTGAATCAAAAACTTAAAAAAAAATTGAAAAGAATCTCTATAAATATTACTCAATTTATATTACATTTTTTATACGAGTAAGAAATGTTTAAATATATTTATATACTTTTGAAAAATATTATTTAATATATATTTATTATTTTAAAAAATATAATTTGTAATATTTTTGAAAATAAAAATATTTTTTCATGTTAATGAATTTTTGTTGAATTTCTAAGATAAAAAATTTTATGAAAGTGAATCGAAAACAAATATTATTAACGTTATAAATATGCAGCAATTAGGTTTAGATTATATTTTCCAGGGTAGCTTCTTCTCACGCTCGACTTCTCGTCAATTCACTTATTCAAAATATATGTTTGCCAAACAATTTCACGCAATTACAGGGTATTATTTACTCACACACACAAACTGAACTTAGTTGGAAAATTCATTTCTCATTGGAATTGCATTACATATGTCTGAATTAAAAGCGGGGTAGATGAAATGCCAACTGAATTTGGTCACAAAATGCATTTGATTGATGCAATTTGTGGCTGAAATAGTATCGAATTTGCAAAATATAACAGAGAGCGATGCGAAGCAATACGATGCGATGCGATGCGATGTGATGCGATGCGATGCAATTTATTGTTGGCCAAAAAAAAAAAAAAAAAACAAATAGAAATATGCAGGAGACAAAGCAAAGTATTTGCATATGAAAGAAAATTACAATTGATCACAAAGAGAGCTATATAGAGATATATTTAGATATATATATGATGTGCTGGCGAATCTGCATGAGACTCTAATAAATCATGGCACTGTGGCGCACAGCCAAAACTAAACCACAAAAAACAGAGAGAAACGAGAATAGAGCGAGGCGAGCGAGCAGAAGGAAATGCAAAAATATAGAAAAGGACATGCCCTGGGACCGAGTGCTCACAATGAAGTCGTTGTCTGTTTGCTCAGCAAAGGACGCGCCGTCTAACTCTAGCTCTGCCTGTATCTATATCTATATCTCTATCTGCATTCGTATCTGTATCTACAACTATATGTATGTGTGTGGCCCTTAGCTGCTGCCTCTGCTATATATATGTACGTATATATATATATTCAATAATTTCATGCTTTGGTGAGACTTTATGCCCGACAGCCGTCAGCGCATATTGAATTCAATAAATACGAGCGCTCGCTTGAGTACCCGGCTACCATGGTCATAACTGTAAGGCAGTTGACGACTTATAGAGCAGTTCATTTTCAGTGTGTGCGCGTGTGTGTGTGGCTTGTAATACGTGGATTGCGGCATGTAATGTCATGCAGATGACGACTAATGCGATGCCAATCGCTGTCTCACCCTATGCTGCAGAGGCTTGCGGCTGCCTGCCACTGGAACTCGAACTGGTAACTGACAACTGAAAATGGGAATGGGAATGGGCATGGGCATGGGCATGGGATTCGAATAGAGACTGGGGCTAGCTGTCGACAATTTTAATAAGCGAGCTCTTTCATGGCAAACGACGCCGCAGTAGCCACAATATCCGCAGCAGCAGCAGCAGCAGCAGCGGCAGCTTTTGAAGGAACTTGCGGCCATTTACAAGCTCACCGATACATGCTCACACACTTATATCATATATATATATATATATATATATATATATATATATATATATATATATATATACGCATTCATATATACGTATACATTTGTTTGCTATACACACAGCGAAAATCAAAGACGAAGTAGAATTTTATTACATTTTCATCTAATTTTCCTTGCAAAATTTCAAAAAGCCTTAGGAATATTCAAGAGATATATATTTATATATAGCTCACATATATTATGTTGGTGTTGCCAAATATTTAGAATTTTCAGCAAATTGAAGCTGCTTTAAACTGACCTGAATTTCGCATTGAGAACAAATAAATGGAAATTTCACATTTAAGTTTGAAAGAACACAGCTAAATTTCATTTAAAAAATGTATAAGTATTTGAAGAGAAATCGAATTTAAATAAATAACGATAAAAAATATCTTTAATATCTTTATATTTAAGCCATGCTAAAATTGCATCAAATACACAATTTTTGATAGCTCAAAGAATTTCTTAAAATCTGCATTCGAAGCAAATAGGCAAATATAAATATAAAATAGGTAAAGTAATAAGACAGTTTGGCAGTAGATTTTAAGCTGAGAAGGACTTTGACAGCTTTTTATAAATTAATAAATTTAGTTATTTATTTTTAACAAATAAAAAAAAAACAAATAAACTTTGTAAGTAGAGCGCAGAGCCAACTAGGCCTAAGAAGGCTTTTAATTTGTGCTTTCGTACCTTATCTTGTAGTGGCTGCTGATGGAGTCATTTAATAATGTTATAATTTTATTGTATGTTGGCATTTTTTAAGATTTTCATCAGTTTTTACTCCAGAGATAGGAAATAATAAATTAAGGCACAACATATTGATATAGTGAAATGTTTTTGTTAGAGAATGTGTATGACAGATATATATGGATTGTGATTACAGCAAGCACAATAGGCAAATGATGCTGTGTGTTGAAAACTTTTACGTAATTCGTAAAATTCACATGACTTAACATGAAGCTTAATGTGGAAGTTTGCGCGGGCTTGGTAAGGATTTGTTTTATTTTCATTTATATTTTTTGTATTGCCTATTGCTACAATTGCCGACTTGATTTAACTATGAACTGTTTTATGAATTGAAATTATTTAAGTTGGGTAAATCGAAGAAGAACATATTCAAATGGCAACAGATATACACAACTGCCAATGGCAATTTTTCTATTTTATAGATTTCAATTCAACAATAATTTTGGATGAGAATTGTAAAAGAAATTTCTAAGCTAGCTCTAGTTAATTATGTTGAAATTGTTAAACAAATTTGCTACATTTGACAGTTAATATTGACAATAAACTGAGCGAACAGCTTGCGCTAATGCAGTCAGTAGAGGCGGGCAAATAAATGAAATCGTATTTTTTGCTTAAAGAAAATGCATCTCGTTAGATGAAACTTTAAAAAGATATATATAAATTCATTTGTAATCAATTGTAATTGATTGTAATTAATCGTAATGTTTGAATGTGAGTCAAAACTCATTCGAAATTCGTTCAGTATATTTAGGCTTTTTTTTATATAAAAACCGTGTCAACCTTTCTATAAAATCTCAACAATTTTAATTACATTTAAACTCAATTTGCAATCAAATTCAGTTAACTATTTCTCCAAGTGTATTTTGTATTGATTTTATGCCTTATTTCACATAGCTGCAACTTCAGCTTTTAGGTTTTTGCGGCTTGCAAAACTTGCATAGTTCGATTGGGACTGGGCGCATGCAACAAGCCAACTTTTTATGCCAGCCCTTTGGCATAGGGAGGGGAGAGACTGGGATGAGATAGTTGGCTTAGCCAGCTGCTAAGTAATTTAAATCCATAGTTAGCTGGCAAAGTTGAGTGCTAAAACTTAAACGGCATCCCAAGTGCTTGCGAAGTGTGTTTTGCTTGGTCGTTTAATTGTTGGTATGCCGGCACATCCTGGCTCATCCAGGCACATCCTGGCATATCCTGGCATATCTCTTTTGGCATATCCTTGCAATTTGCTTGCCCATTGTGTTGGTAATTTGTCTCAAGTATCCAAGGCAACTTGGGCCAACTACCTACGTCTCTTGTTTATTGTGCATATTGCATGCCAGCTGCCCCTTTCCGTCTACTGCTCTTTGTCTTTGTCTCTATTGTTATTGTATTGCACAATTATTATTATTATTATTATTATTATTTCTGTTGCTGTTATTATTTATGCTGCTGCACATAATTAAGGCCTGCAGATACTCGACTCCCCACGCCAACAGAGCCTCTCTCGTGTCGGCGTTTGTGAATTTCCACACAATTGTTTTTGGCATAGCGGCCTTATAATTTACAATTGTGTGGTTTTATTTTGGAGGCAGTGCTAGCTGGGCAGCTCGCTTGCTAATAGTAATTAGGCTTTCCAATCGATTGGGCCGCCGATCGAGCTCCTAATTAGGCGCATGTCAATGGCTTTAAGCGGCTTACGCCCACCGCTGTCAGCTGTAAATTGAGGTGGCATTCGAATGATGCGAATGACGTCACTAGCCGGCTACATCAATATATTACATCAATGACAACAATAAAATTGAGTAGCTGACGAGCTGTATGAATGACCGCAATAGCTGCCCACATGCCAACCACATAACTTAATGTTCTGCGGCACGTTTGTGGTTGAGCTCGAGGAGCGGGACGTGGCGCAGTCGAGCTAATGGACATTCGGCTGACAGATGTCAAATTGGTTTTATTACACGCAATCCGTAATTGAAATAATGTCAACAGCAAACGCACATTAAACTCAGAAAGTCGACAGCTTAAAGCCACAAAATGCAACCGATTTGTAAAGCAAGCTGCAACACACTCGGTCTACACACAAAGGCGTTAATAACTTTATGCAATTGGTTACGCAAGTAAACGGAGCTTATAGTCGACAATTTGTATTGGCAGAGACTTGTTAAAAAGAGTAAGTTGTCGAAGCAGAATATGGCTTTAATCTTACATAATTTTGCTAAAAAAAATCGAATGAGTTAAGGCATTTGAGTAAATAAATAAGATCACTAAGAGCGGCATTTGTATTTGAGTAAAGTTTAAGAGCAAGCCCGGTCTGCATACTCATCTTCCATTTATGCCACAAAAAATAACAGGTGCTTGCACTTTGCAATTGGGCGTCTCCCAGAGAGAAGCCACAGCGAACACATTAGGTTTGCTTGTGCAGAATGTGCATCAATTTATGAAGATTCCTTTTCTAGATTGATTCAAGCATTATTCAGATTTTCAAATATTTTTCTATATTTTTTTATATTAATTTACGTCTTTAAATTTAACATCGAATATCAAAAATTATGAAACGTAGCTTCCCACAATATTTTAGTGAATTTTCTAAATTTTTGCTTTCATTGAAAATATAAAAATGAGGGAAATTCAGATTTAAGCTCCACTTCTTTATCTTAAACTTTTAAGACTTGCTTAATACAGAACCAAATTTATATTATTTTCATCATCTTCCTTCTTCTGTATGCTCAGTATTTACATTGCATTTACATAAGTCAATAATCATATCCAATGTTATACACGCTCCTTACATCGCCTTTAAAGCAAGTAAGAAACAGTGCTCTAGTGGGAAGTGCCCGACTAGAAGATACCGCGAACTCTGCGTTCATACGGACGAGCAGTTGCATATGTCTAGATCGACTCAGCGCTTGTTTACTACTAGAGATCTATCATGTCCCATTTTAGTTAGCTCAGGGTATCAAAAGACAGTCACATCTTGATTTATGAACTAAGATAGTTTTTATCAATCAACTGTGTTTTTCCAGCTCCATCCATTAGGCTCTTCTCTGCCTCTCAACATAGTTAATATAATGAATAAGTAATTTAAATAGCTTCTTCATCTTGTTTGTGGCATGCCTGCTTGCCACACATGCAACAGCAACAACAACAACTGCCACATGTGGCACTGTGTAAATAAATATGTGACAGACGAAATATATTCAGGATATGTTTTTGTGTTTTTCTGTCTTACAAGATTTGTCAACTGGCAAAGTTTGCAGTGCTGTTTATTGAGGTCCAGTTCAGCTTGGCCAGGCTGGCCATTCTCTTGGGCTAATGTCTTTGTAAGTGCGCTGACGTTGACGCCGCAGTCGCTGCCGCTGCTGCTGCCGCTGCTGGCGTCGCTGTCGGGCAGGCAGGACAAGTGCAAAAGTTTGGCAGGCGCACATTATTTTTTCATCTTTAGTGCGGAGGCCAAGCCGAAAGTAATTTACGCTCGTAAAAGCTGGCGAGCCAAAATGCCAGAGCGAGGCAAACTTTATGAAATTTATATTCGCGCACATATTGAGGATGGAGAATGGCGGGTGGCGGGTGGCGGCTGGCGAGCGGATGCTGCTCCTGGTTTTAGGGGTGTCTGCTGCTGAGCCTATAAAAACTTCGCCAGGGCATTATTTTTGCTTGTTTCTCCTTTGACAACAATGCGGCAATTGGCAGGGGGTGGGTAGGAGCCGCTTCCTTTTGAAAGCGAGTAAAACTAAGGAGGGGGAGGTGGGAGGTGGGAGGGGGTCACAATTTACGTGCGCTGCCAAAGTTCAATAAACGAAATATTTCTGGCCATGATCATTATTTGGCAAACGGAGCGCATAATAAACACATAAAATAAACAAAACTTTTCAATAATCGACTTTTTTTTGCTCGTCGAGAAACCAGCTAGCCCCGGCCGCCTGCTCGTGGTGCTTGTTTAATGTTTGTTTGTGGCGATGCCAGGCGGCAGGCAGCAGGATCAGAGCCAGGACCAAGTTTCAATGACAAATGAAAAAAGTTGGCTGCGGCGCTGCCTCAAATAAATACGCATTTTTTATAGGCCAGCAAAAGTGGAGTGTAATGTTTTTTTTAAAGGACATCTTTAAGGACAACTGCAGCCAACTACTGACACGAGCTAGCCACGCAGCTATGCCCGAATCGTGGCTCTACACTTTGGAGATTTTGGGAATTGTATCGCAATTTGCATGCGCCGCACACACGCCCAAAGTTGCCAAAAGTGTTAACACAGCCAGCTGCCTCTGTGTGTGTGGGGAAGGCGTGGCCAAGCGTATGCAAATAAAAAGGCAACATTGTAATTGTATGGAGCCGAAATATATGCAAATTATTCATCATTGCTGATCAGAAGACGCCGCAGCAAAAAGCAGGCAACAAGGACCAGGAAGTAGACAAAGGCAGGAGACGAGATACGGACGACGAGTGCGACGGAGTGCGGAGTGGGGCGAACTTGTTAGGCACAATGCGTAGTCGGGCCCGGAAGTAGTTAAGAGCCTTGGGGAGAGCCAGCTTGAGGGATATTTTTGAGTGTGGGTGAAATTTGCATCCGCTGCCAGAAAAAGGGAATCTGTTGAAACTGCAGCGGAATGGGAGCAAATGGCAGATTAGTTTTGATTTTTTTGCTTCGGCCCTTAGACGAAGGCCCTATTGAATCTGTGGCCATAAAGCCGCCAAATTGCAGCTCAGCTACTTAGCATATTTGAGTGGGCCAGGCGCAGGATCTAAGGATATGTTAATTTGAGCCAGCCACACACACACACACTGAGCAGAGGTGTCCAAATGATGTGCACAATGGACCCAAGTGATTTGTGAGCCGCATAAATTTGGCTATAAAAATATAGAACTATCCCAAAAATTCAAAAACTCTCTGCGTCTCTCCCTCCATTCCTCTCAGCTACTTTGCATGAGAATAACAAAGGAGAGCTTTAAAATATGAGCTGCGAAAATGTGGGTTGATTGGCTGCACTTACCCAATATTTCGACGGTGTGCGTAATTTCGCGTGGCTCCATCGTTGCAATTTGGCAAATATAATCGCCGGCATCCTGGGGCACGGCGTCGCGTATCTGCAGGTTGAAGCCGCTGACGAGACGAACGCGCGGATCGGGCGTCACTTTAACAGATCCAGCAGTCAAGATGGCAATGCCACGCTTCCAGGCCACCACGTACGGCTCTGCAATACAAGGAAATCAGTTTCGATTGTGCATAATAATCGCATCTGACGACTTAATTGGTAAATGCGGCTGGGGCAATCACTTAAATTAAGTTGAAAAGATTGAATCACTCACACACACACGCACACACATGCACAGAAGTACAATTTTGCTGTATAAATTGAAAAGTCAGAATTCAAATGACTCAATTACAAGGCATTTGAAAAGATCTAAAAGGCTAGAAATTCAATTTGGCATGGACTCGCGCACAGCGCGCACATCAGACACAACAACAACCAGCGTGTGCTGTGCGGCGACACATACACTCGGTAACACCCACTTGATATCCGCTAATGTGCGGCATTTGCAATCATATGCCAGGCACTCGATATGCCAGAACGGAAAACGGAAAAAGCTAAAAGGGAAAAGGGCATGAAAAGCGGCTTTCAGCAGTCAGCGAGGCAGGAAGAACTGAGAGGCAGCCAGATATACAGACTGACAGACAGCCGAGCGCATTCATCGAACTCATTAATTGTGATTCCTTTTTATACCCTGTGCACATTGAATGTGACCAAAACAGCATGCTAGACTTTTGTGAATGGAAAACCAAATTGAGTAAACTCTATATGTAAGGCCTCGACTTGGATGGTTCACATGTTTATCCATTTTCATAATAATATATACTAAATATTTTTTAAAAATTTTAACAAAAACTTATTCCATATGCCTCTAGAATTTTAATTTTTAATTTGCATGAAATCGATAGGCATCGAACTTAACCATTAAATTTCATTCTTCAACTAAGTTATTTTTAAGTTACATAGAATAAAGAAATACAAAATTCAAATAATACAAGAAAACGAAAAAAAAAAATAATAAAAAATCTCAGCAAATATAAAAAATATAAAAATAGTTATTTAAAAAAATGTAGATTAAATTTTTAAGTTACTCCATTTATTTGCAGCATAACTGCTAGTCGATCAGGTGTGCCTAGAGCAGCTCTAACTTTTTCAAATTTATGTATTTTGTGTGTTGTGTCTGCGCGGGCCACGTCAAGCATCACGTGCCACTGCAACATGGTTTCTCTGTCTCTTTCTCGCTTTGTGTGTGTGTGTGGCAGGGAGGTTCGAATATTGAAATTGAAATTGAAGTTGTCCGGATTTGCTACTAATGATGTATGACTTCCGCGAATGGCGCTCATTAAAAATTAAAACAACAATTTCGATATGCGGGTATCGAGTATTTTAGTCAAGAGCAAAAAGCGTGCTGAAAATGAAGGCAACGGCGCTCATTATTGATGGCCTATGCCAGGGCAAAGCGTGAGGCTGAGAGATGTAAGAGAAATTGATTTCAATACACACACAAGACTCTTTCTCCCTCTCTCTCACTCTTATTGTAAGTGTGTGTGTGTGCAGACACTCGCTGAAACTTAGTGGTAATAAAATGCTTATGAAGTCATTTACATGCGCATTCAAAAAGCGTATTTATTTGCAATGAGTTCAACAACATCAACACGCCAAGCAGCAGTGAAAAGCACTGTGGCAGTGGCAGACGACGCAGCAGGCAAAGCCGAGTGTGTTATGCAACACACACGTTCTGACTCACACACACACACACTCAGACACATACAATCAGAATCACATTCACATTCGCCAAGGCATATAAATAAACTAACGCCACCTGCTGGCCTTAGCGTGCACTACGAAGCGTAGCAGCGAAGCAAAGAAACGGAAAACATAATTCGTGGTCTGTGTGTGTGTTTGACTGTGCATGTGTGTGTGTGTGCGAGCGAGTTATGTGCAGCTTGGCTTCTTTCGGTCTGCCAGTTACTTAAAGGCAGCCTGCATTTTGGTTTTCTATTTGTAGCTGCAGCTGCATATTTATTATTATTATTGACTATTCAAATTAGCCAAATTGTTAAACCAGCTTGAACCATTCAAATGCCAAGAAGTCAATTCATTATGCCTTTACTTATCTTTGTTGAAGATTTATATTATATAAGTCCATTATATTCCCTATAATAATTTAGCTTTTGCATATTTTTTAAACATTATTTAGAATTTTTATCCCATAAAAAATATTTGAATATTAAAATTAATTTTGAATAAATATTATTTATATTTTTTTTTAGTTTAGGATATAAATTAAAATATTAAAATTAAATATTAGTAACTTTAATTGTATTCTTATGATAGAAAAAATATTTTAATGTGACTTAAAAATTTAAAAGAATTTTTTATATACTAAAAATATATCAAGTCATTTGACTACATTTCCCTTAATTTAACTACAACTCAAACCCATATTTATTAACTTAGCCAACATTACGATAAGTAATCGATATTTATCTATCAATATTGAAGCTCAGTTAACCATATTATCAAGTAGAACAACCCACACATTTGGTCTAGCTGAAAACCCCAAATGATGATACAACATGAGAGGCGTAGCCACAGAGCTGAAGCTTTGAGGCGTGGTAGCGCTTAGAAAGTGTTTATATTATAATAGCTAACCACATGAAACCACATGAAAATGATGCTCTTGGCTAAAAGATTTCAGACTCAAAGCAGGAAATTAATAAGGCTTTGTAGTGGAGGAGAGCAACAGCAGCAGCTGAGCTGGGGAGGCGTTGCTAAAGGTATTCTATGTATGCCCTGGCTGCAATTGCGCTTAAAGTGTGGCCATCCACTTGAACAATGCAACATGCAACACAAATAATTCACAAGATCATATAAATTGTTACAGTGTGTATGTGTGTGTGTGTGTGTGTGTGTGCGTCTGTGTGTGATTGCGCTGTAACTAAATAAATTGTTAACTAAAATAACAACAATCTAACAAAAACAAGCAAAACACAAAACGCCTCAATTTCCGGTTTAGTTCTAAACTAAATAGAAACACGCTCACACACACGCACACTCACATACACACACACACAAAGAGAAGCTATCTGTTAGGGCGGAAACAGAGTAAAAGCATTTCGGCTTTTGTATGTCAGCTTCACATGAACATTGCCTTGCGTTTAGCCTCCTGCTGGAACTGGACAAATTGTTGGCCATGGCCAGCCACATGTTGTGCCTGTGTGTCTGTCTGTGTGTATGTGTGTGTGCCTTATTTAGAGCTCGAGCTAAATTTTAGTTTTCTACACTTCAGACCAGAGCAGACAGACAGACTGAGGCTCGCACACAGAGGCTATTCAAATATGGCCGACATTCGCTTTTGTTGTCGAGCTCTGTTTGTTTGCACTGGCCACACGGTGCGTATGCGCAATTTGCCGTTAAGCCAAGGCATGCCACTTGCAACAAGGAGCTGCTGGCCGTTAGACCGTTAGACCGTTAGAGCGACCGACATGTTGTTTGCCAGAGCGCAATTTATTGCATGTCGGAAAGGCCAATATTATAAGATGATGACCCCCGAAGATAAACGATGTTGCGGCTAAGCCCAAACACACACACACACAGCCAGTGGGCGTTGGGCGTGGCAGGCAAGCTGCCTCCATATGGCATTATTCTGCAACTTCTTGCACAAGTTTTCTCGCTCTCTGCCTCTCTCTGAGTGTGTGTGTGTGTGTTAAGTGTTGTGCGCGTACGTAAAAAGCGAAATTAGAACTGTAAATGGCATTAATATTGAAACTTTGTTGCCGCTGCCACAAGCCGCGTCCCTGCCGCAGGCCCTGGCCTCACGCTGTGCTTAGCTGTCCTGCTGTTTGCACAACTTCAACTTTTGCAACACGATTCCATTTCCGTTACTCTGTAATAGTTTCAAGCGCTATAGCCCCAGCCCCATCTTCGACTCTGACTCTAGCTGCGACTATGGCGCTCCATCAAAGCGTAATGAGCGTTTTCTCTGTGGCCGCCGTAGCTGAGGTTTTTGCAGTTGTTGTTGCGCCTTTTTGCATTTTATTGCATTTGGAGTTTGCCAGTTGCCAGTTGCCAGTTGCCAGTTTTTGTTGCAGCCACACTTTGTTTTGCCATTGTGCTGCGGCTAAAAACCATCAACAGGAAAAGGTCTTATGCGTGCTGACAAGTTAAGCACCGGCCTCAGTTACCGCAATACCAAACGGCAACAGCAACAGCAACAATTAATTATTTGAATCCATTTGGCAAGGCAACAACAAAACAAATGAAAATTAAACCGAAACCAATTCAATGCATTACGCACAATAAACCGATTTCATAAGCATTACGTATATATATAAATATAAATATATATATATATATATATATATATATATATATATATATATATATATATTTATTTATTTCATATTTATATAAATTTACATATTCATTACTAATTGAAATTTACATTTTGAGTTGCAGCATTTTTGACATTTGCTAAGGCTTTAAATATTTTGTTCGTTAAAACTTCAACAAGAAAATGTTAAGCATAGCGAAAAGAGATTTCGGATTTGTTAAGTTGTTGAGCTATAAACATATTTAAAAAAATATTTAACTGAATACTTATGTTAAAGTCTTTAGAGTCTTAAATTTCAATTCAAAAATCTTCTCCAAAATTAATTTTCCAATATTTTTACATTAAGCTTAGTTCTCTAAGCTAGTTTTCTTGCATACCCCTCTTACACACTTCACAATTCTAGGGTATTCATAATATATTACACACAGAGCCATCATTAAGCACTTGTCAAGTCTTTCAAGAGCAGCACTCTCCATTTATATTTGATAAAATTTGATGAGTGCGCAAATATTCAAATATGCCTCAGGAATTGCGTGTGTGTGCTTGGGTGTGTTTGTGTATGGAATCAAACGCAGTACAAGTTGATTAAAAGTCTTTCAGTAAACGTACGAGTATTTTATAAATTCATTACAAAAATAATAATTAAAGAAAACAACAACAAGAAGAAATTTGCCTAAGCAAATGTCAAAGCCACAGCTGAGTTTCATCATTTTTGAGTGATTCAAGAGTTTCACAAAATTTGATGAAGCAATTAGGGAAGAGTTGTTTAAGCAACTTAAATACTGGAAGCTTTATAAATACATTAAAGAACACTAAGTAAGCACGAGCTTGAGTCAACTGAACTTTTTGGCAACAGATTTCGCTTTCTTTTATTGCTTAACAATTTTTCAAATAAATTTGGATATATTTAAATGAAAAACAGAAAGTTCTTACAGAAAAAAAATGATGCTTAAATTAATTGGAATTATGTCCATAAAATAGCCAAAGAAAAATATGATTTATTTATGCAAATAAGTTCTTATAATTTAAAAATAATTCTTTTTAACGTAAGTTTAATTTCCTTGAATATAAAAAGTTTTTGTTTAAAGAAAAAAACAGAAAAAACCTGAAAAGTTTCAACTCATAACAGTTCCACTTGTTCACACTGACAATTTGCCAATAATTTTGAATGAAAATTCAAGGATATGTATGATAGAATGTACTCATCCGTTGCCAACGTACAGAGTATCTCAAGTGCTGCTCTATGAACGTACTTAACTCTAACGGCATTGCTTGTGTTTGTGTTGGCGGAATTACTTTTATGTTGCATAGCCGCAGGCGCAAGTGCCGACTAGTATATAAACAAAGGCAGCAGCGATAGACAGAGGGGTGAGGGGTGGGCGGGGCAGAGCACTGAGGTTACAGGAGCTGGCGTTGTAGAGCCTTGCACATATGCCAAAAGGGGAACAAAAAATTCAAATAACATAATAAAATGATAATGATGAAATGCTTCAATGTTGATTTAGACAAACTCTGGCGCGCACTCGAGTGCTCAACATATGTGTGTGAGCGTGTGTACATCTGTGTGTGCGTGTGTGTGTTCGTTTTTGAGTGTGTTAAGATGTGCTTATATTTCTTATTTGCCAAGACATAAGATTACTTTTGTAAAAGTGCGAAGCACCGCAATAAGTATTTAAAGGAATTTTCATATAATATGCAAATGAGCAATGCCACACAGAGCGAGAGAGAGAGAGAGAGGGAGAGCAGAGTAAGTGAGAGACAAGCTCATCATTTGGGCTCATTTTCATGTGATTTTCTTTCGAATTTTATGGGCGTTCGTCATAAAATAAAATGAAAATGTGCATAAATTTTAAATTTGTGCGCCTGGCAACGGGCTTCACGGTGGATTCATTCATTGCCTTTTGTTAAGTGTGGCGTTTTAAAAATTCTATCAATTACATTTTTAACTTTATGGCTAACACATAAAAATAAAAAGAGGAGAAGAAACGAACAAGCCAGCTGCCATCTGCCGGTCTTAACATATTTTTCCAAATATCCATAAAGTGCGCATTATGAACACGGCCCAAAGACGTCACGAGCTTTGATTTTGATTATTGCATTTGGGATCCTAAAGCTGAGCCACGCCAAAGCCTGCCACGGCTGAGAAATGTTTCTAATTAAACTGTCGTATGGGAGGAGCACTTTATTAGCATAGACTCTGCGCCCAGCAAACGGGAAGGAAAGAGAAAAACTCTGGACGCATTGGATCTATAATTTTCCTTTATTTTGCTTGGGCTGCTTGGGCCATCGTTTTTTCTTTTTAAGCTTTCCTTTAGCTTCCTTTTTATTATTACCCCAAATGCTTGTGGCTATAAGACTCTGCTCGGCAAGACTGCTCTATGTATCGTCCAAGTCGTTGCTCTTGTTGCTGGTTTTGTTGTTATTGTGATTGTCTTGCTTCCGCTTCTTTTAGTTTTTCTCTGTTTTCTACTACTTCTTCATTTTGGTTCGTTGGGGCAATGAAGTGCATGAGAAATGCCAAAAGAAAATGCCATGTTCCTTTGTTCTGTATGCTGGTTCTAATAAACGGTTGATATGACCACAACAACTCACTCACACACACTCTCAGATGGAGATATATTTATATATAAGATATACACTTGAAGAAACTTGAAAATATTATCCATAGTTGAGGTTGTTCCATGGATAGTTTTAGTAATGAGAATGAAGAATTCAAATTAAACAATAAATAATGTATAATGAATGGAGCAATGAATAATGAATAATGAATAATGAATAATGAATAATGAATAATGAATAATGAATAATGAATAATGAATAATGAATAATGAATAATGAATAATGAATAATGAATAATGAATAATGAATAATGAATAATGAATAATGAATAATGAATAATGAATAATGAATAATGAATAATGAATAATGAATAATGAATAATGAATAATGAATAATGAATAATGAATAATGAATAATGAATAATGAATAATGAATAATGAATAATGAATAATGAATAATGAATAATGAATAATGAATAATGAATAATGAATAATGAATAATGAATAATGAATAATGAATAATGAATAATGAATAATGAATAATGAATAATGAATAATGAATAATGAATAATGAATAATGAATAATGAATAATGAATAATGAATAATGAATAATGAATAATGAATAATGAATAATGAATAATGAATAATGAATAATGAATAATGAATAATGAATAATGAATAATGAATAATGAATAATGAATAATGAATAATGAATAATGAATAATGAATAATGAATAATGAATAATGAATAATGAATAATGAATAATGAATAATGAATAATGAATAATGAATAATGAATAATGAATAATGAATAATGAATAATGAATAATGAATAATGAATAATGAATAATGAATAATGAATAATGAATAATGAATAATGAATAATGAATAATGAATAATGAATAATGAATAATGAATAATAATGAATAATGAATAATGAATAATGAATAATGAATAATGAATAATGAATAATGAATAATGAATAATGAATAATGAATAATGAATAATGAATAATGAATAATGAATAATGAATAATGAATATGAATAATGAATAATGAATAATGAATAATGAATAATGAATAATGAATAATGAATAATGAATAATGAATAATGAATAATGAATAATTAATAATGAATAATGAATAATGAATAATGAATAATGAATATGAATAATGAATAATGAATAATGAATAATGAATAATGAATAATGAATAATGAATAATGAATAATGAATAATGAATAATGAATAATGAATAAAGAATGAGGATAATGAGTAATGAATAATGAATAATGAATAATGAATAATGACTATAGAATGATGACTATTGAACAATGAATAATGAAAAATAAATAATGACAATGATAATGATAATGACCAAGGAGCTGTGATTATCAAACAGTTTCTTCACAAGGAAATGTTTCACTCTAAAGTATTCACCTCAATCTAAGCATTTATCTATGTGCATGACGCTCTCAATTTCGCTGAGTGTAGATATCTCGGTAGAGACCATGACAGTTGCCTACATAAGTCCTCACATACGTATAATGTATGCCAAGTGTTTGGGTCCAAGTTTTTTATGTAGCATTTTGTATACAAACTTGACCAGCGGAGGCGAAGTATGAGGCCGAGGACGACGACGAACAGCTCCCGGCCTTAACCTTACTGAATGTGAGCATGTATATGTGAATGAATAGATGTGTCGGGCAGTTGTCTACTCACACTTGGAGTGACCGCTGCTGCTTACGCTAAATCCTTGTTATGTACAAATAATCTCGCACACACGACCGCATTTAAATTGAAAAACGTACATGGCACATGCCAGCGGTGCGACCATCACCATTTGAATGGGTCTGAAACCGAAACTGAAACCGAAACTGAAACCGAAACCGAAACTGAAACCGTAAACCGAAAACAAAAACGTGTTTGGCCACACCCAATGGCTGAATCTTGGGACAGACGCTCGTCAAGTGCTCATCCTTTGTGGTGCTGGTGCCTTGGATTAATGCATAGTTGCGGTCAACTGGCAGGCATCACATGGTGTAGGGTTAATTATGCACATATGTCCTGCATCTGCAGACCACAACATTTGAATGACAACTGAGTTAAGAATACTCACACACACACACTCGCACTCACACTAACACTCACACACGTTCGTATACTCACCCGTATTGGCCACCTCGCAGGGCAAAACTATTATATCTCCGGCAATGAATTTGAATGTCTCGGAACGTGATATGAACATCGGCTCATGCTTGGCCATCAGACCCTGGGCGCTGGCTGCAAAAGGACGAAAACAATTCAAATATTAAATATCATATGTATATATTTATATATCTATGTATGTAAGTGTTTATATGTGTGCATACTTCGGTCTAAGATATCAACTAAATTACAGTAAATATTATTAGCCTAACGAACGCACGTCACGCAGTAGATGCCATCGTCGTGTGTGTCTGTGCTTGTGTGGCTAATTGGTTTAGGCCATTTTGTAGAAAATTTGTCAAATGTCGCAAAGTTCATAAAGTGCATTTTATTATGCCCAGGCTAATGAAAGTTGTCAAATTGCTTTCAGACAGCTGACGGACGAGCTGCTGGATGAGAGCTCGCATATCCTTATGCACGTCCTGGCACACACACACACACATACAGCTTAAGAAATAATTTAGTGCTTTTGCTGTTGATTTGCCAATCAATTTTAAATGTCAATATGCATGTGCATGAGCATGTGTGCACATGTGCACATGTGTGTGTGAAATACTTGAGCTTTGCAAAGTGTTAAAATGCACTTAAATATTAAAACTTTGTCATCGTGCTCTCCATCGGAATTTGCATTAATTCAATTGCTTAGTTTTATGGGATTAAATACACATACACCCAGACATACTCACACATATAACTAGATATATATAAAGTTTTGCCTACTTTCGTTCGTGATTCATAAAATATGCAAAACTCTGAGGCGCCAATGATTATTAGTTTTTGAGCGAACTTCTGAATAGTTTGCCATAAAGAAAATATAATTATATGATATATACTATACATAATAATACCAAACGCACTACATTTGTTCAGATATTCACGTTCAGTTTGATTGTTCTTGTACTTATCTTATTGTTGTATAATTGCAGAAAAAATAATAGCACCACCAAGCATGTTAGTGCTATTATTTATTTGCTCAAATAATTTTTAAAATTGAAAAAAATTGAAATAGCAGCAGCACCCAGTTTTGTATTGGTGACATATTTTTATTACTCTATTTGTTAAATCTTTATATTTTTTTAATGGTTCAACGATTCTTTAAATTTCTTAATTTATTTGTTTTTTATTTCTTACTGAATTATAAGTCTCAGCTAATTTTTTTTACAATTTTTCAATACATCAATTCATTTCTGACTCTACAGCTTAAGAGTTTCTGCCTTTTGATTATTATGAATAAAACTTTAGCCGACTGGCTGAGGTAGTTATAGTTAAGCTTTTCACGATGAAAAATCTTATAAATAAATAAAGGATTTGCTTCAAACTTAATTGAAGCAAAACTTAAAAAGTTTCTTCCTCTTCTGCCTTAAAGATGGCTTCCATTACAAGCTGCTTTAGCAGGCACAAATATCAAGCTAATCAGTTTAATAAACAAAAAGTTGCTGAGCAGCGCTAACTTCCCACTCATTGCATAGTCCTTGCTGTCCGTCGCCTCATGCCTGCTTACCTGCGCTGTCATTTCATTTTGTAATTAGGCCACAATTACTAACAACGAGAAGGGCAGCCGGCCGCTGGCGTGACAATTATGTGGCGCTTGCAACGTTTGTGGCGTCAAATGTCAAACGGAAGCGTACATATCCGGTTACAGGCCCCATGCCGTAATCGATTACTTTAAGTGTGACAGTGCAAAAAAATATATAAAAAAAAGAATAAAAACGAACAAAATAAATAAATAAAAAAGTACAAAAAAGCGAACTGGTCGCACTTCCGCACGCAAACAAATGCACAAACAGAAAAAAAAGAGGAAGAAAAGCCATCAACCATCAGGCGGCATCAGGTTCTCGAGTAGCAGACAGCAGCGAGGACAACAATAATGCGTATAAACAAAATGCTGGACTTTGCTTGGCCCGGCCAGGAGCAGCAGCAGCAGCAGCGGCAACAAAAGCGTTGGCAAACAATTTAATACGTTTAAGCGAATGTGTCAACAGGCCAAGCTGGCTTGAGCCTTGGGCCACGAACCCAGGCATCAAGGACGACGAATGGCCAAGCACTTTTGACATCAGGACAAGGCGTGGGCGAGGGGCTGGCGCTGGCGCTGGAATTGATTCGATTACGCTGCGGGCACAATAATGAAGTGTCAAATGCTGTATTTATCTGCTGCGAAAACATTCGTGAATACTGTGAACACTCTCTATACATTGACCGAGTGCGTGCCCACACAAAGCAAGCAAGAAAAAAGCAGCCGAAGAAGCAAACGAGCAACGAGCAGCGAGAGTGAACAAATAGGTAAGCAAAAGTCGCCAAGGCTCAATGGTATTGGGCCCCTGACATGAGTTGGCAGCACTTGGGCCCTCGATGCCATGTTTCCGGCATTTTATTTGATTTCGCCCAGTCGTGCCCCACTTGCCCCACCTTCATATTTTTTGCCTATTTTTTGTGTATGTTTTGTTTTCGTTCGCTTTGCCCCACGCCCCGCGCCCCACTTCCAGAAGCAAATATAATTTCTTTTGTATCTGCAGCGGCTCGGTGGGGCTGTTGTCAGTCGTTGTCCCGTCGCTGCTGTGTATTCCGGCAATATTTTCGCAAGGATAAAGGCGTCGGCAGCACGTGCCTGTGCCCGTGTCTGTGCCTGCTGCTCTGCTGTCTGCTGTCAATCGAATCCTTGATGCGGATAATAACGAAATAATGTCAGCAGTAGAAACTTATTTCTTATGGCATTTTCCTTTTGAAGTTTCGTCTTAGAAGGGTTTCCGGACACCCAGCCAGCCTGCTAATAACCCAAATGACTTTCTGTCACTTGGGCACCGAAACAAGCCACGGATCTCCGCAGCAACAGGGGAACGTGTCCAGCGACAACAGCGACTCGCTAATTGGACACAGCTGCACAAGGACTTCTGCTTCGCTCTTTCTATTCTTTTCGCATAATAGAGTCAGTTAAGCAAAAGGCAGCTGCACCCTAACTGGAATACATATATAAGTATATTGATCTATTCAAAGTAGCCAAAGCAGTCATTACGCTAAATTGTTTGATTTTGTTGGAAATTCTATTTAAAGTTCTTCAACTAACTTGGAACAAAGCAAACTGAACTTCATGCTCAATTTGCTTGAAGCTTATATAAAATATATTTTTTAGACTTTAAGATTCAATTTATGAAAAACAAAACACGAGAGTGAGAGAACTTTATGATGAAATTGTTGAAAATCGAAGCAAAAACTATGCATTCGATCATAGATAAAGTCTGAAATTATCAAACCAATTTAGATGAGCGCAAATTATATTATGAATGCCATCGCACAGATCTCGTAAAGATATAAAAGCAATTTGCCGCTTTCTACCTCTAAAATAGTGATTTATAAATATCCAAACAACCGCCTTGAGTTTATAGGGAGAGCGAGCACAGGTAGGGAGATATTCCCGCTCTTACAACTTCAGCTTCCAATGCTGCTCTTACAAAATTATTACTCAGACTTACCTATAACCATATAACATTCAAATGAGCTAACCGATATGAAGGAGAGAAGCGAAAATATAAGCAGTTGAGTGGAATTTAATATTTTTTATTCCCAATTGTGTGTGGGCAAATTCTTGAACCCATCCATCCCACTGACTTCTAATTAAATTCAGCTTAACTCTGAAGTGAATTGTGCATGTTTTCAGTTGTTATTTCAGAGCTTTTATACTTTGCAAATATTTTAAATTTGGTTATTAAGTCAGGAGATATCCTTTCTCCTTAGTTATCCTTTTTTATGTGGTCCCTTAACTTGTTGGCTCGTATCAAAATATATTTTTTAAGCTGGAATTTATTCTGAAATACAGCTCAGGTCTTTTCAATTGCTATAATACGTATATGCATCTAAATAGCCTCTACTTAAGCCAGAATTATCTTCACTCTTGAAGCTGAGTCACGTTCGCATTAGCCTGTTTTTCTGATAGGATAAAAGATGTAAAGAAATTGTAGAATATATAAATATATATATTTATATATATATATATTTATATATATATATATAAATATATATAGAAAATTCACAGATTAAGTTGATTTTATAATTCCAAACTGTTTTGCCCTTTGTAGAGCAGCCGCAAGGCTATGTGTGTGTGTGTGTGTGTGTCTGTGTCACTGTTTGAAGCAACTATTCAATTTTAATTTTCAATTCGAGTGCCTGGCAGCAACTCGGACTGGACCTGGGCAAGGTTTTTTGCGGTTTGATATTCAAAGTTTTTCCATTAAAGTTATTCGCAGAGAATAAGAAAAGTTTGGCTCACTTACACACACACACACACACACACTCTCACACAAAGAGAGAGAGAGACACACGAATACTAATACACACATTTGCAAATATTCAATTTGAGTAGAAAATTATCAAACAAGTTTTTACGTTTTTTTGTTTTTCTGACCTTCGACTGAAATAGCAATTTGGATGGCAGAGGAGCGTTTTTTGGCCACGAGTGAATTGTAGGAAAATTGAAACATTTTTAAGCACGCAAAGTACATAAAATATGAAAATGGTTGCAATTGCAGTTGCAGCTGCAACTTCGGCTCGTCGTTGCCACCTGCCAGCGCCATAAAACGAGCAGAGCAAACAACTACAGTGAAGCTCAGCTGGCTGAACATTCGCCTCACAGCGCAATGCAAGTGAAGCTCTCTTAATATTTTTTTTGTGCTTGCTTTGAGGCGCTGCAAGGCAACAGCAGAAAAAATTTCATTAAACACCGCACAGAGTTCAGAGGGAGAGAGAGACAGAGAGAAAAAAGGAGTTGAGCAGAAGAAGCAGAGCTAACTAAATGCATGGCAAACTTTAATGCACGCACATTTGCAAAAGACGCGCTCGAGGCGACCTCAAGTAACGGCCCGAAAAAGCATGCTATGAAAAAAGCAAATAAAGAAAATTGAGAGAGTGAGCGATGCAAAGAGAGGCAGAGCGAGGGAGAGGGGCTGAGCGCAGCTGTAAGTTTATCTCATGCCACTTTCAAAACCAACACGTAATTTCCTTTGAGTGGCCACTTATCTCGCGCTCTCTCTCTCTCACTCTCTCTCACTCTCTCGGCTTCTCTCACTCACTCTCATTGCATAGTT